ACAGTTCCCTCCCCTCCCCCTGGGCTTTCTGTCCCGCAGACCCCAGCCTCTGCCCAGGCTGTCACTCTGCGCGGACGGTGAGCTGGAGATGCCAGGGGTTTCTTCTGTGGCTGAAGGTGCCTCTTCCCTACCAGAACCCCCAAATCCTGCCAAGCCCACCGGCCCAGATCCGGCCAGCGTGGAGTCTTCCCTGGGACCACGTAAGCGTGTCAGAAGCCGTGCAGTGGTGAACAGCAGGGCACCCGAGACAAGACGTTGGTGAGGAGGAGAGCAAGCCGCTGAAGGAGGGGCAGGGCAGACATGGCCAGGTGGGGCAGAAAGGGCCCCAGGACCCGGCACAGCCCAGTGAGCAGGGGCTAGGAGGCACCAGGAGGAAATAAATGACTCAGACCCATGGCAACACCTGTCCTCGTGGGATTCTGTGGAAAGCTGAGGCTCAGTTTAAGGGACTTGTGTGAGGCTGCCAGCTAGCAAGTGGCTAAGCTAGCAGGTAAGTCAGCCTATTAACCCAGTGCACACCACCTCTCCGCAGCTTAGCCAGGCTGGGCACGAGCCCCAGCGTTTCCCAGGAGAACGCCGTGGGCTTCTACTGGGGAAAATTGGCGCAGACTTCCTCTTCCCTATTCTTCTCACGAAGCACAGTGGAACCTGTTGATGTCATGTGTAAAACAAATGTGAGAATTCTCCGGAAGATGTGGAGAAGGCAGAAGACAAGGGGCCTCAGGACCCGAGGAACAGCACGGCAGTGAGCCCCCTGGCTTCTCAGGTTGTCTTGTGAATCCCAGTGGGGTCCAGCTAGGGACACCAGCAACACAGAAATACCCACAGACAGAGATGAGAAAAGCCCGCTCGCTCCAGCCAAATGACAGGGACACAGGGGGGCCTCATACCACAGACATTAACACAGTAACGGTGCTAGTGCAGCCAAACACCACAGAAAACAATGTCGCTCTGTCCCCAGCTACCAGCAAAAGTTGAGTGGGGAGCCTTGCCTTGCACCCTCACCGGTATACTATCCCACTGCCCAACCCAGACGATGGTGCAGGAGGCTGAGCAGGGAAGCCGGACCCCACTCACCGCCCCCGCCGCCACCGATGGGATGACGCCGGAACAGGGTCAGAGGCCAGCCTACAAAGGACAAGGTCTGGATGAGACCCGGAGTCTTACACCTTGGTGCACACACTGGCCAGGTGTCCGTCAAAGACCACTCGTCACATGGGAGCAGGGACGTCTCAAGTGCAACACGAGAAGACATGAGCAGATGCCAACACCAAAGTCACACAGATGTTAGAACTGCCTGATGAGGATTTTAAAGCGGTGATCAAACACGTTTCAACAAGAATCGACACAAATGAAAAATAGAAAGTCTCAACAAAGACATGAAGGGTTTCAGCAAACAGAAAATATAAAGAACCAAACGGCTATTTTAGAACTAACTATTACTGCACTTGAAGATTTCAAAACTCACAAGGTGGGCTCAGTAGCAGAATGGAGTAGACAGAAAAGAATCAGTGGAGGAAAAAAAGGTAAAACAATAGAAATTCCTCGTTGTGTTGACCATATTAGCAAGCTAGTGACGAAGGAGTCACGCAATCACATCGATTCTTGCAGAAAAACCATGTGACAACTCCCCCCAAACTGACATGTAGGCTTAACACAATTCCCATCAAAATCCCAGCAAAATTTGTCTTCAGATATAAACAATATTATCCTAAAATTTATATGGATTATAGACAATAATTACAGGTTATGAATCATAAAACTTTTAGAAATAAGAGAACCTTCAGGACCTAAGACTCGGTGAGGAGATATGACACCGAGAGCATGACCGATGAGGGAAAACATCAGTGCGCCTGATGGTGCACTGTGGGGCGTCCGATCAGGTGGGGCAGGTGGCGCGGGTGGTGGTGGGACTCACGGGGGGCAGGACAGCGTGCTGGAAAGCTCACTGAGTTCACGGCAGGATAGCGGCGGGCAGAGCAGCAACGAGGGACTGTCTGCCACAGGCGGTGGCCAGGTGCTCCGGGTATAGGGCTATAGGGTGGACTGAGGAAGTATAGGGATGTATGGAATCTCCCCTTTCTTGGTAGTCTTGGGAACTGGTGCCTGGTCGCAGGCAGCCCATTTGTCAGCTAGGGCTGATGGCTGTTTCCAGGTAGGTCACTCAATGGACCTGCTTACGTCAGCCCGGCGGGCGCTTTGGGCCTTTCTGCCTCACTCAGATTCCCACTGCTCAAGCCTGTTGCCGAGAAGCAGCCTCTACACACTGGATTCAGCAAAATTAAAAAGAAATGTTGCTCTAGAAAAGACCTTGTAGAGAAGATGAAACACAAGCTGCAGACCCGGGAGAAATGTTTTGTGAATCAAATATCTAACAAAGTACTCATATTTAGAATAAATATATATAAAGAACTCTCAAAATTCAACAGTAAAAGAAACAAGCAATTCAATCAGAAATGCACAAAAGGCATTGTTGTCTGCAGAATAATGGTCCCCCAGAGATACATCTGTGTGCCCAGGCCTATAACCTAAGTATTTTCTGTTATATGGCAGAGGGTAACTGTGGTTGTAGATGGAATTAAGCTTGCTACTCATCTGAATTTAGGTGGAGAGATTACCCTGGATTATCCATGTGGTCCCGTATTCGGGTTCTCCAGAGAAACAGAGCCAATAGGTGGTGCACAGAAGGAGAGATTTATTTTAAGGACTTGGCTCCCAGGATTGGGGAGGTGGACGCGTCTCAGATCTGCAGAGCAGGGAGCAGGCTGGAGACCCAGGCAGGAGTGGTGTTGCCTTTCAAATCTGAAGGCCATCTGCTGGAAGAGGTCCCTCTTGCTTAGGAGAGATCAGTGCCTTTGTTCTAATCAGGCCTTCAACTGATTGAATGAGGCTCACCCACATTATGGAGAGCAATCTGCTTCACTCCAAGTCCACCATTCTGAACATAAATCTCATCAAAAACACCCTCACAGAAACATCCAGGGTAATGTTTGACCATATATCTAGGCAACGTGGCCCAGCCAAGTTGACACATAAAATTAACGATCGCAGAGCCCAGTGTAATCCCAAATGTCCGTATAAGTGGCAGAGGGAGAACCAGAGATAGGGAAGGGCTTTGAAGATGGAGGAGAGAGACCACAGTCAAGGGATGTGGTGCCTTCTGGAAGCTGGAAGAGGTAAGGAAAGAGATTCTAGAGAGCCCCCAGAAGGCACACATCACTGCCAGCACACCGATTTTAGCCCAGTGAGACCCAGTGTGGACTTCTCACCTCCAGAACTGGTAAGATTATAAATCTATGGTTTAAGATTTTGTTTATTTATTTGAGAGAAAGAGAGAGCACAAGCAGGGGGAGTGGGAGAGGGAGAAGCAGACTCTCCACTGAGCAGGGAGCCCAATGTGGGGCTTGATCCCAGGACCCTGAGATCATTACCCGAACCGAAGGCAGCTGCTTGACAAACTAAGCCACCCAGGTGCCCCAATAAATGTATGTAGTTGTTTTAAGTGAGTGTTGGGGACACACCAGTCCAAGGTGGGTCTCTCCAGCTCTGCTTCCCACACCGCACAGGGAGATGCCAGGAGCTTCCTTCCGCGAGCGTTGCCGCTTTCTCTGGGTGGTCATGCGGAGGAAGTCATGGATCAGGTCCAGGCCATTCGGGACCGGGGGTTGGAGGGGTTGTTGTGTAACTACCTGGATGGCCCTCCCGACGGCAGATCAGAGTTTTACCGTATTCATGCTGCTGCTTTCCATTTGTGTGTTCTCTGTTCTGCTCGAAGGCTGCTGGCTCAAGGACCACAGCTGAATGGCACAAGTCCAGACCACTGGTCTATGCCATTGGACCATGAACTACTAATGAACTCAAGTGGGACAGGAAGCCCACTGTGCCACCTGCCAAGGTAAGCCATGTGACAGACACTGCAGACCTTTGCAGGTCCACTCTGATCCCTCCTCAAGGAGGACGGCTTCCTCTACAGCCATCAGGAAGACATCAGCAAACAGCTGGAATATGTCCCCATACCGCCATAGAACCATGAATACACCAGGACATGCCTGGTGTGCCGGTCATTGCCAGGTTTTAGGAGGCATGGTTGTTTCTCGTGTTAGGACCACCCCCTGGGACCTCACCGCTGTCCACACGAGCGCACTGGCCGGGCAGACCAACAACCCCACTCTGAAGTGGGGACAAGCATCGGTCCTGTGTGGGATGTGCTTGAGGCGAGCCAACCGGAGTGCTTCCTGTGGGTTTTTCTCCCCGGTACTGATGGAGAAAAGCCTCGAATCTGTAAGGGAATGAGCTCCCGTCTTGTGATCAAAGTCCACCCACAGAGAGAGAGCAGGGCTGAGTCTGAGAAGGAGGGAGGGCAGCAGGGGTGCCACAAGAGAGCTGGGGCTCACCCTTGCTCTTCCCAGACCCTTGGAACTGGGGGGTGCAGCACGCACCATGTAACTGACCAGCTCTCCTTCCAAGGCACTTCTTTTCACATAAGCTGATTTCGGTGGGTTCTACCACTTGCCCTTAGAGTCTTTTTTTTTTTAAGATTTTATTTATTTATTTGACAGAGAGAGACAGCGAGAGAGGGAACACAAGCAGGTGGAGTGGAGAGGGAGAAGCAGGCTTCCCGCTGAGCAGGGAGCCCGACGCGGGGCTCGATCCCAGGACCCTGGGATCATGACCTGAGCCAAAGGCAGACGCTTAACGACTGAGCCACCCAGGCGCCCCGCCCTTAGGGTCTTGATTAATATCCAAGCCCTTCAGGCTTCAAGGTCTGTAGTCAGGGGAAGGCTCCAGAACAGGCACTGAGGGCACTAAGGGGATGTCTGTTACCCTATTGCCCCAGCCAGCCTCCCGGCTTCTTCTCAGTCACAGGTCCCTGGACACAACCCTCCCCACACAGAGGGCAGGACCCGGCTCACTTCCTGCGGTGATGTCACAGGTCCC